GTCTATTTGTATTTTATTGACTACGCAAACACAATTGACTCTGTGGATCATAAAAAAACTATTGAGAAGAATGGGAATTCCGGAACACTTAATTGTGTTTATGTAAAACCTGTATTTAGGTCAAGAAACTGTTGTCCAAACAGAGTAAGGAAATACCACACGGCTTAAAAATAAAAAAGGTGTGTGGCAGGGCTTTTTTCTCCATACCAATTCAGTCTATACACTGAATAAATCATTCAAGTAGGTGGACTCTATAAAGAGGAGGGTGGCAACAGGATGAGAGGAAATCTTATCATAACCTCTGTTATGCATATTATATAATCTTGCTCACTGAAAGTGGGGAAGACTTGAGATACCTGCTGTAGAAGATCAAAGACTGTAGCCATCAATATGGATTACATCTCAACACCAAGAAGACAAAAATCCTCACCGATAGACCAGTAGGCAGCATCAAGATAGATAGGAAAAGATAGAAACTGTCAATGATTTCATCTTACTTGGATCCACAATCAATGGCCTTGTTACTATTGTTAGGTGCTGTCAAGTTGAGTACAACTCATAGTAACCCCATGAACAACAGATCTAACCCTTGTCCTAATCTACGCCATTCTCACAATTTCTGACAAATTTGAGCCCGTTGCCACAGTCACTGGGCCAATCCATCTGGTAGAGGGTCTTCCTCTTTTCTGATGTCCCTCTACCTTCCCAAGTGTGATGTTCCTTTCTGATGAATAGCCCCAAATATGTGAAGAAAAGTTTAATCATCTTTGCCTCCAAGGAGGACTCTGACTGCACCTTCTCCAAGACACATTTATTTGTTCTTTTGGCAGTCCATGGGATATTCAATATTCTTCTCCAACACAACTCAAAAGCATAAATTTTTCTTCTTCATTATTTTCATAATCATTTTTCCACTCTCAGCAGTATAGCATGTGATTGAAAAGACGATGGCCTGAATAAAGTGCACCTTGGTACCAGCAGTGAAGAAATTAAAAAAAGCAAACATGTTGCACTGGGAAAGTCTGCTGTCAAGAAAGTCTTTAAAATGCTAAGGAGCAATGATGTCAGTTTAAAGACAAAGGTGTGCCTGAGAACAAACAAATATGTCCTAGATAGAGAAAGTGCAGTGAGTGCTCCTTGGAGGCAAAGAAGAGGAGTCTCGTGTGCTTTAGGCATGCTGTTAAGAGAAGCTACATGGAAAGGTGGAGAATCAGCAAAGTAGAGGAAAACCCTCAACTAGATGGAAGGACATGTGACTGCTACAGTGGGCTCAACTGTGTCAGAGATGGTGAAGACAGCACAGGTTAGGACTTGTTGTTCAGAGTCACTATGGGTCATACTTGGCACAACGGCACCTAACAACAAGAAGACATTAACTTTTTACTCAATGTACAGCCTCACAGTGACTTCTAATTCTTTAACAATTCATTTTCTCCTCATCTAGTGGCTCCTCCCCAGCTTCTCTTCCTTTTCTTTCTTTTTTTTTTTTAATGGAACACTTCATGCTAGCTAATCTCTGCATCATTCCAATTTTAGTATATGTGCTGCCGAAGCGAGCACAGCTTCTCTTCCTTTTCAACATGGATTGGACTACAAGGCTGAGTATCCAAGCTACTTTTTTCCCCCATAAGCAATCACTGGCCCTTTGCTCTGTTCGATTTTTACTATATTTGCCAATTAAAATTCTGGCTATGGCCCAATGCTCTAATCTCGCTTTTATACTTTTACATACAAATGAATAAACACTGTAAGCGCTAAATCACAAAGCTGTACTAACTGTTGCCCTATGAAACTATGCTTTCTAACCTAGCTGTGTCCTTAACAGGGCCTACTAAATCATTTAGTCTTGTTGGAGTCATAATTATATCTATGTGTACTTTTATTTTCTTCCCTCCAATCTCATAAAATAAAAGGTCTCTATTTCAAGTCAATCTGTAAATATTTACTAGAGAAATATAAATAACCAAGTTGGACTATCCACTTCCCACTCTAAGGTAGAGAGGAGGGGCAATCCACATTTCAAAATAACTAAAAATGTGGTAAGCACGAACGTCCATGAAAACCTCTTATAAATCTCATACCCAGAGTTCAAACTTACTTCCCTTTGTCCTTCAACCATTCTGGGTTCTTTTCCTCTTCCTTTAAGTCATCAAGTTCAGGAATATCAGTATTCATTATTCTACGTGCCTCTGCTTGCTTGTGTAGCCACTGAAATGAGAATGAAATCTTATGAAGTATGCTTTTCTTTCATTCTCCGAAAGATAAAAATTATATTGAATTGCTAAAATTTTATATACATTGATACGTATTTTCTAAACATTTTTTAAAGCTTCACAGGTTTCTAGCTAACATTCTACCCATTCCGTGAGTTAAAGGAATCATATATTTTTATTTAAATATTTCTTTTTCTATACAAAAAATACAAGTTATTTTAAATAATTTTTATAATTATAAAATCTTAAAATGAAATATATTGATATATTATTTAGTGATAAGGAAAAAAATATATATGTATAAACTGTCATTCTATGTTAAGGACTTTCAGTTATTTCTGTTATATTATTATGGCCCTTCCAACTCACAGCAAGCCAATGTGTTAACAGAATTAAGCTTGCTCAATCCTGCACCAAACTCACAAATTTTTTTGTGTTTAGTGTTGATAGCTCAGTGTTGCAGTCACTATATCAACCTATCTTGTTGAGGGTCTTTTTTTTTTCATTGGCATGCTACTTCTCTGATCATGATGTCTTTATCCAAGGACATTATGACATGCTCAAAGTATGTAAAAAAGAGTTGCATTATCTTCACTTCAAAGGCTTTGCTTGTCTTTTTGGTAGTCTATGGTATGTTCAATTTTACTGAATATCACAATTCAAAGCCATCAATTCTTCTTTGATAGTCCTTATTCACTCAATGTCCATCTTATATCTGCATATGATGTTTTTAAGTGCTGCTGAGCCAACTATGACTCACAGTGACTCTATGAACAATGTATCTAAACCAGGCCCTATCCTCTGCCATTGTGACCATCTATGATACACTTGAACCCATTGTTATAGTTGATATGTTGATTCATCCATCTGCTTCTCTTACACTGATTGATCCTCCACCTTTCCAAGCATGATGTGTTTTTCCAAGGACTAGCCCTTCCTATCAATATGTCCAAAGTAAGACAGACCAAGCTTTACAATCCTTGCCATGAAGGTATGTCCTGGTTGTGGTTTCTCCATGACATATTTATTTGTAGTTTTGGTAATCCGTGGGAAAATCAATGCTCTTCAACACCACAACTCAAAGGCATCAATTCTTCTGTCATCCACAGTCATTGTCCAACTTTCAAATACATAACAAGTAACTGAAAAGACTATATAACTGGCTTCAGGCCCATCTTAGTATTCAAACTGACATCATTGCTTGCCAGCACTTTGGAGATATCTTTGACAGGTGATATCCTTTCCCACTGTGACATGTCTTTTGATTTCTTAACTCCTCGTACAAGGGTGTTGATTGTGGATCCAACTAAGATGGAATAATTAACAGCTTCAATCTTTTCTCCATCTAGCATCTATCTACTGGCCCAGTGATGAGAATTTTTGTTTTCTTGATGTTGAGATGTAATCCATATTGAAGACTGTCATCTTTGATTCTCTGAAGCATGTTCTTCTCACTTTCAGCAAGCAAGGTTGTATCAAGATGACACAACAACAGAGCATAACACAGGTTACTGATAAGTCTTCCTCCAATTTTGATGCCACATTTTTATCATAAAATTCAGCTACTCAAATGATTTACTCAGTATACAGACTAAATAGGTATATAGAAAGGACATACCCCTGATGCACACCTTTCTTGATTTTTAAACCACATACTCTTCCCTTGATTTGTTAAGACAACAGCTTCTTGGTCTCGGTATAGGTATTGCATGGGTCTTTGTATAGTCAATAAAATACAGATAGAAATCCTTCTGGTATTCTCTGCCTCCAGCCAAGTAATATTCCTGTTGTCATGGCCATCTTTAAATCCAGCTTGACTTTCTGGTATTTTTCCATCATTGTACTGTTTTAGCTGTTTTTTAATAATCTTAAGTAAAATTTTGCTTGCATATGATATTAATGATACTGCTCGATAATTTTTTATTATTAAATTTTATTAGTTTTAATGAACATTTACAGAGATTTTGGGTTTTCATTCATTCATTGTTGCATGCTCGATAAGTTTTACATCCTGTTCAATCATTTGTTTTTGAATGAGAACAAATATGGATCTCTTCCAGTCAGATGGCCAGGTTTTCCAAATTTCCTGGCACAAACTGGTTAGTGCATCCAGGGTTCATTCTATCCTTTAGTTGAAGAATATCAGTTGACTGATATCCCTTTGATTCCTGGAGCCTTATTTTTTTACCAATGTAGTGAAGCTTGAACTCCTTCCTTCATTATGACTGGTTCTTGATCATAAGCTACTTCCTGAAATGGTTCCATGTCAGCCAATCCTTGTTGCTACAATGGCTCTACATTTTTTCCATCTTCTTTTCATACTCTGCCTCATTAAAGATTTTGCTGACAGCATTGTTCAGTATTGCAACGCGAGGCTTAAATCTGTTTTTCAGTTCGGCCTGAGAAAAGCTGAGTGAATACTTCACTTTTGATTTTCTGACTCCAGCTCTGTGTACATTTCATTAAAATACTTTGCTTTGTCTTTTTGAGCTGCCATTTGAAATATTTTATCTCTTGGTTTGCCATTTCCCCCCTTTGTTTTGGTTTCTTAATATTCAAGTGCAATATTCAGAATCTCTTTTGACATCAATTTTCACCCTTTCTTCTGTCTTTGTAATGATTTGCTTTCTCCTTGGATGATATCCTTGATAACTTCTCATAAACCATACATATAATAAAAACATTATAGAAAATGCATCAAAGTCCCCAAAGTAAAATTTCTTTTCTTTAGCACTTTAAAGAGGTCCTTAGCATTAGGTTTGCTGAATGTAATATGTTTTATTTCTTCCCCCCTCCCCCCAGGTGCCAAGGTCCTTATTTTTTTTAAGATTTTATAAAATTTATTTTAATAATATGCCTCCAATGTCTGCAGCCCTCATCCTGTGCTACAGCCTCTACAGCCCCCACAGGCTGCAGTCCATGTGCAGGGTCAGGAGCCCCTAACTGCCTCAATGCTGGCTGCTGCA